GGCTGCTGGAGTTGCCAGTCTGACTCTCGGCAGGGCTTTGGTATTCGTGTCCCCCTTCCCAGTGCCTTCCCAGTATCTCGCCTCAGGGGTCTATAAGTGCCAAATGCCATCACGGGTGACACTGTGGGATGGTCAGTGGTGCACTCTGGGGCTGCCCCACTCTGGCCCTGATTTTCGCCCCTTGTACACCTGGCTTGTAGTGAAACAAGGCACCTGGACAGTGCCAGGACCCACCAGGGCTAACTGGGACTAACCAGGCTGTCCTGTGTCCTTCCCAGACCATTCCAGAAGCAAGGTGGAGATGGTGGTGGGTGAGATGGACCCCAGCAGCTACGCCATCCTCTACTACCAGAAGGACCGGAGCATCTCTGTCAAGCTCTACGGTGGGTAAGGGCTCGGGGACTCATGGTGGGTAAAGGATAGGCATGGGAAACGTGCTGCACTCAGGGGATGCCAGCTAGAGCCTTGGAGGACCCAGACACCGGAATGGGATCTCCTGAGAGACATTCCCCAGCTGGAGAAGCATAGAATCATAGAATCATCAAGGTTGGAAGAGACCTCTAAGATCATCAAGTCCAACCATTAACCTATCACTGCAGTAACTGCTAAATCCTAAGCCATATCCTCCAGCACCAGATTCAGACACCTCTTAAACACCTCCAGGGATGATGACTCCACTACCTCCCTGGGCAATTCCCTATTCCAGTGCCTGAACACCCTAAATTGTCCCCAAATGCTGTGGGGAAACTGGCAAGGGGGGAACTGGGAACCCACTTCTCTGACCTGCAGGACCTCTGAGCCCCAAGCCCTGGCCAGGGACAAGGGGGCTGGGGACAGTGCCAGCAGGGCCTGAGGCCACTGACGGCATCTGCCCATGTAGGACGGACCAGTCGGGTCAGTGACCCTGTCGCAGAAAGGTTTGAGCAGCGCATCAAAGATGTGGGGCTGAGCGAGGATATGACCTACTACTTCCCCACGTATGGTGAGTGGCACACCTGGGAGCAGGGCACGCTGCAGTGGGGGCTGTACCCAGGGCACACCCAGGACTGGGGTCCTGCACCTCCAGCATGAGGAAGGGGAGGCACATCCGCAGGGGTCTGAGCAGCCTGTGGTCACGTGATACCCACAGTAGGGCCACGTGTGGGGTCTGTCCCCATGCTACACCCACCCCAGGGACAGAGATGCAAGGATGGGGCTGTGCCCTGCAGCGTCCTGGGGGTGCAAGGCAGGGAATGTTGGGTCCCAGCAGAGTGACCGACCTGGGCTCTGTCTCTCATAGGGTTCTGTGACTCTGCAGACGAGTTTCACATCCTCAATGGTGAGTTGGGGATCCTGGGTGGCACGCTGGGCCCAATCATATGCCAGGTTTGGCCCCACACTGGGCACCAGTGGGGTGCCCCTGTCCTGGCTGTGGGCTGGGCACACTGGGCCAGACCCATTACCATTGCCCTGT